TGCACTACTTACCAATGAATTATACTTGGACTGCGCCGATGTCAGTATTGGTGATGGTGCTAATAGTGGTGATACCATACCTGTAACAACTTCGGCAGCACCCGTAACGTCCGCGCCTACAACACCCATTACACCCACAACGACATTACTGACAGCTGCGTCATCGGCCACCGAAACTCCAGGGATAGTCGAAAAGAGACAAGAATCCGACAGAAGGAAAATGAAGGTGATCAGAATGAAACGGAGAAAACCATAGGAGGCAAAGTAATAAAGTAAAATGGAAACAGAAGTAAAAACGGTCTTTTTCATTTAAAAGAACAGATTTTTCATTGTATTATTATTTATTCGAAGGTGGTTGTTTTTTCTATACCTTGCTTAGGGCATTTCTTTTTGATCCATTGTTGTATAAAATATAAATAAAATAAATAAAAAAAAATAATAAAAAATAAATCCCATTCAAAAATTCTTATGTAATGCAATAATTGCCTACTCCGCCACATGCTAAATCTGTTATTAGTGACAGCATGATCTCGTCACTACGTGGCACAAATCCCAAATCATCAAATTATTGAAACGCGTTTTGAATGACCTTACTTGTAAAATAAGGTCTGTTTCCCTTTAAAAATAAAATAAATGTACTTACAACGCGTGATCTATCGCATATAATTTTATGCCATGCATGCTATCATAATGGTCATTTTACATCCTGTATAAGGACAGAAATTTGTAGGAACATGGATCAACTGTTTCTTCTCATACTTATTTTTAATAGATGATATGGTTAGAATCTAATTACTTCATACGACCTTTCTTGTTTTCCAAATCGTAAGAACAAGATTTACTACGGAAATCTGTATGCATTCGCGGCCTTCATGTTGATTCTCCGGTCGCGTGTTTATCGAAAGCGACGGAAATTTCCGTTTTCCTCGTGAAAGAGAAAAATCTTGTGATTGAGAGTACCATGTCACAAAAAAGAGCCGTGTTCTTAATAAAGTCAAATGGGAAGATTATTACCACAGGTGTTTTATTTGGTGTATGAAAACGCCCTAAACATGAACGGGTCAATTTTAATTTATGCAAAGCCCAAACGGCAACGATAACAAGGACAATGCCTTGCCTTGAAAAAAAAAATTTCATATCTCCTTCAATAGACGGACGGACGGTCAATGGATTAGTAATTTCAAACAATTTGTAAATAAAATTTGTTTTCATTGTATCTATAGGGACTCACTGAAGTCTAATGTCATTGGTGACCGGTCAAAGTCAATTCGAAACTTGATAACCTTAAATTCAAATAGTAGACATTCCTGATTAGAACGAGATCGAAAATTTCAAGATACGATTGGTGAATTCCACTTTGATTAACAAATTCTCGTAAACGCCAAAGTATGGGGATAATAAATTCCGTCACAGAAATATTAAAACTTTGAATGTTTTGTTTGATAATCCTACAAGACCCTCAACTTTGACTTTAACATGATTATTGAAACATTAAAAAATATATATACAGTATCATGCATACAATATACTGTAATATATTGTATGTGTCGAGATATCGTGTTGCACATACTGTACATAATACAGTACAAAAAGAATAAATGACACTGTACATAAAATACATAAAATAAAGATACAAAGTAAAAAATTATTTTCTGTTATTATTGTATAAGTATTGCATATACAGTGTGTGTTGTTGTTTATTTCTTACTCAAAATCACTATATTACACGAAAATCAATTTCAAACATGAAATTTTTTTCTTATTAACATAAAATTAATGATTGATTTAAATTCATATATACTGTATATACTGTATATATAATTTTTAATTTTAAATATTTAAAATGATTTAATTTGCATACACGATCTATATAATATATATATGGTACATTTTTTTTATATAAATAAATGTTTTAATAATCTTTTTTTTAATGTTAAAGTGAAGCATTACTCGTGATCTTTATTAATATAATAAAAATTACTTATTACATGATTAATTGAGATATGAATTATGTTACTATGAATATTAATCTATTATCTATTGAATAAATATATTATTTGAAAAATAAGTAATAAAAAAAACATTTCAAGCCAAATTACCATATTATAAAATAAATTATTTGTAAAAAAATACTTGATAAGATATTGTAATAATTCTTAAATATATAATTCTTAAATATACTGTAACTATGTAATTTAATTAGATATTAATATCATATAGGTCATATATAATTTGATATATTTGATTGTATAATATTGATATAATAGAATTATATTTCAATAATATAATAAATTGATATATAAGATTGTATATAGGTTTTTGATTTAAATATAGTTTTGTACTTTTTCAATTTGATAAAGTGTTATATTATTTTAATTTTGTTAAAACAAATACAAAATACTAACTTGTACCTTTTCAATTTGATAAATTATTATATTGTTTTAATTTTGTTATTATAATTATATTCAAGTTTTATATCTTTTGTTAAAAATAAATTTGATTTGATTTGTAATAAATTTTAATTATAATTAAATATTTGAAAAATATCTAATTATGGTTAAAAAAATAGTAAAAAATAAAAACTTAAAAAATAAGATATAGAATAATTATTTAATAAAGATACAGTATAAGAAAAAAATTTATTTAGAAATATTTTTTACAGTGGTGGTCATAAATAATAGAAATTGTAAATTTATTTTTATTTATTTAAAAAAAAATATTTATTATATAAAAAAAAATAATAAAATAGCTAAACTAATATACTAACTAATATATTTTTTTTAGTAATTTTTTTTATATCCATTTTTGATCACCAACTCTTCCAAACAATAAGATATACTTTTTATTAATCCAATCAATATGTTTTTTTCAAGACCCATCTATTCTAATCTAATTAATTCTTTAAACTTGATAAATATAGTAGATTTTTTTTCTTGTACCTTTTTATTAATTTTTTTTTCTACTTTTTTTTTAAAAAATCGCTCACAGATTTTAAATAGAGTTAAGATCTGGCAAGTTTGATAGTCAGTCTAAAACTCTTATATAAAAATTGGTTAGAAATTACTTTATTACCTTTGCCATGTGTTTAGGATTTTTATTCTGTTAAAAGATTTAACTACAATCCATTACAGTCTATATGTTAACAAGATTATCTGTAAGAATTTGATAATATAACTTTTTATCCATATTTTGAGTAAACACATAAAAATCAATAGTACCTTTCATTAAAAATACATTCCACACATAAATCTTGTACAGGTGCTTAACTATAGAATGTTGTGATTATTTTGTATTAGCCATGTAATGAACTTGGATTATATTATGGAACATCTGGAAGATAGATTTATTAGAAAAAATGACTTGGCTTCATTTTTGATTAATATAAGCTTTAACTTATTCTAAGTAATAATTTTTGTATTTTTCGATAAAAAGAGGGACCCATTTAGAAATTGTAACTATTCACTTGTAGTTTGCAAGCACTAAAGATGGGTCCCTAAACTATTTAGCATATAAAATTTTGCAGATCAATTATGTCTCTTTTGAAGGGACATAATTAATTAATTATTATTTTAATAGAGATATAATTAAAAAAACACTTGGATTAAGTGACCTAAATTGTAAAAAACCTTTGTATATAGTTTTTTTTTAACCTTATATTTAAAAAAAAACTTTTTTTAATAGTGAGAGACATTTGAATTATGTCTTCACCTTTAATTTAGAAACTCATCTTTAGCAAGCACCCTATTAATAGTTCTCACTAATATTTTTAAGTTTAGATTACTAGTGTTCAATTTAGATGCAAGTTTTTTAGCAGAAATTTTTGGATTCTTCTAAATGAGTTTATTAAGATTATTGAGTTCCTTGGAAAACAACTTAAGAGACTGTTCTGAACGAGATAGAAGATTTAAATTATTTTTTTTTTAAATTTTTTTACATAATTATATATGATCATTTTAGAAAAACCGGTTTTTTTATTAGAGAGATAAGGTTTCATTCATTGATATGTCATAATGCTTGGATAATGCTTTTGAGATAAGTGAAAAAATTATTCTCTATTTCTAATAATGATCTTACTGTTATAAAAATATGTAATATATAAAAAAAAATTTTTTTAATAAATGAAAAGACATAAGCTAAAAAAAGAAAAAGTTATAGTAATACAGATTGATAATTGTGGCATAAAAAATCTTTAAAATTAGAAAATTAAAATTCTTATTATTTATAGTCAGCACTGTATTTATTTCTTCTTTTTAAAGTTTTTAATTAATATTGTTATAAAATAATATTGCTAATATTTTAATTTTTGATGAGTTTTCTTCAACAAGTAAATGCTAATATTTTAATACTATTACTAATATCAGATTTTATATAATTCTTTAGATTTATTTAAAAAAACATTGAATTTCTGCTAGTTAATATTTTTTTTATAATTTTATTAAAAAAAAAATTTTCTTAAAAAAAAATTTTAAGAAAAACTGTATATATAAAAAGGATGTTTTTTTTTTATATAAAATATTTTTTTATTAATAAAATAAAAAATTATTATATAATTAATATTAAAATATAAAATAAATTATTATATAGATTGGCATATTATTTAATTAGATATACTGTATATAGTAGTTTAGTAAAAAATCCTTAAACAAAAAAAAATATTTTAAAAAATAAAAACTTTTTTTTATATATAATATTTTTCTTAAAAAAATTTTTTTTATAATAATTTTTTCAAAATTAAAAAAATAGTTGTTTTTTTTTTATTTTTTAATATTGTAAGAGGGACCGAAAACTTAGATAGATTCAACATATGTCATCCTCGCCCAATTAGGGTTTAATTGGGGCTTGAGGGATTTTTGGGAT